CCGACAGGCTGTAAACAACGGTAGACTTGTGCGTAACAAGCAAGCGAATAATGAAGAAAACAGTACAGCGAGAGAGAGCTGTGCATGAAGTGTGATTTTATCTTGGTGGAAGCAAAACAGCAAAAGTCAGAGTGAGTTCATGATGATGTTTATGTGAAGCTTAGTTTGGATCTTCTTTTGCTGCCGGTTCAGTCAGTTTTATTTTTATTGTTTGGAGAGAGATCGGCGCAAAAAGGGCGTGAACACAAGGCGCGGACCCGCCAACAGATCAGAATCAGCGAGCTGTCGGCTTTCAGCCCCGACCGTGTCCGTGCCGTCGGGTGAGAAAGGCGACGTCTCACTGATTCTGATCTGCGGGTCGGCGCTTTGTGTTTACGTCCTTGTGCAGAATCTGTGTCCCTGCTCTCATTTACTGTCTTAGCTGTTTGGTGGTTGTTGAAATTTTGTGAGATTTCATTCTGTCATTTCGGGCAAAATAAATTTATATTAAAAAATCGATTTAGGATTTTAATGAATCGATTTCACGTTGTCCAAGCCAGAATCGATTTTAATCAATAAATCGATTATAAAAACCCAGCCCTAGTCTGGTGCCATTAAGCTACGAGGGATCAACACGGAGAACCAATCGAACAAAGAAAGAAAGACGATGGAAATACGGCAGCAATATTAGCATGATTTGAGGAACACACACACATACACACTCCTTGAAATTCATCATGTTTTCATTTCATTGCTTGTTTTCGTTCTTCACTGATGTCTAACTCATAAGCCTCGTCTCCTGATGTCTTTCCTCCAGTCTGTGTAGCTGAGTGCAGATGTAGAAACATAAACTTTCTGCTTTTCTAAAATTGAAAAAAGCAGATAAAAACAAGTTTAAATCGTGCCAGCAGGCTTCAACTAAGGCACTTTCCAAGCACAAAAAAGTACTTGTCGTTATCACGATCTGCACCATTTCTGTGATAGAAATCTTTTCACCCAGCCGTCTGCCGCAGCATTCAAAACAAACACTTTTACCTCGCCATGCGGCTGAACTACACAACATTAACTAGCTTGTTTTGGGGACGCTGACAACTCAGCACTCCTGAGTCTGTGTTTGAGAATACATCATTTAATCGACAAATGCAGCAGCTTCAATGCTCTTATTCTGCCCTTTTGTTTAGGCTGCGTGTTCTATAGAAGAAGAAAACTCGTGCTGGTATAATATCATCAGTGTTGCAATAAAGAACAGCAAACTTATGAGCCAAGCTGATTTGGGTATATGTCAGAATCTCCCCCCCTCCTTACATTTCTACCCATCTTCCATCCCCACTCTCCCTTTCTTCTCAGCTGCCTGCCTGTCACCTCTCCAAATTGCCCTCCCACCACCTTCCCCATCCTTTTTTCTACCCATCATCCACCCTCTCTACTAAACCACCCCTCAACTGGACCATTTGGCACTTTTCTACTGCTTCATCTACTACTACACACCTCTTCTGCCTCTGCTCTCTCGGTGTCCTGGCCTTTCCAGGTGTCAATCAGGCCTGCCCTCTGCAGCCATTACCATTCCACCTCCAACAGACACTGACATTTCCTGACACACACAGGAGGGCAGAGAGCAGAAGCACCGTACTCCCTCCTTCAATTGCTCCATCTTTCTCATCTCTTCCTCACATTCCTGTCCTGTGTTGCAACATCCTTCTCCT